TATCCCATCACTTTTTCCATCGTAAAATGGTATTTGAAAAATGATGGTCGAAAAGTGAGGTTATTTTTCGACTATACTTTTATGACATGTCCATGATCGCATAGTGCTGTACGAAAAAAAACATTCGTTTCATTCAATTAAAGATTTGCCGACGCCTGCCCTTTATATTATGGCAATAAAACAATAAAAACTTTTGCTTTTTAATTCAATCAGGCACTTCGTTTTCAATCACTTATATTTTTTAAACTAATGTGGATAAGAAGCGTATACCTTTAATTCGTGAAAGTAGCAAATTGGGTAGCAATTATTGGTAATACGTACTTCTGGAAAATCTGCTCCCTTCATGCTGAACAAATTGGCGACCAGCCATCTTGATATCAGAATGGCTGGTCAATTATTTCTTTTAGTTTCACAGAATGTATCAAAGGTAGCAATTATTTAGAAAAGGTATTCAAATTCAAATTCTTATATAGGTAAGCATTATTACACTTGAAATCGTCACAATAGTTAAACTCTACCGCTCATTCGTAAGGCAGATTCCCCTGAGAAGAATGAGCAAGAAACTCTAGGGGTTGCTCTTGTAAATAACATTTACAATTTTTTATTTTTTTATTTGAAACATCAGAGATCGAGGCTACCTCCATGAGCTAAACGGGTTACTACCACGGATTTTTGTCATCCAAGTACGCAGAAGTTGTATAATAACCTTTAGTATAAAGTTTTTGTTTCACTATAGTTTTAAACCTCGTGAAAGGCAAATTTTGTATATCAACCATCATGTATCAAATAGGTAGCAATTCTTGAATATACACTCAGTGCCAGATGCCACAGGCGACCAACCATCCTGACGGTCACATGTTTTTGTCATCGATTAATGAATCGAATATTTCAATCAAACGAGTATAGAAGCGGTCTTGTTTTATTTGGTATTTCAGAAAGGATCATTCCAATTATTCGTAGAGGGCTACAAAGACGCCGACTATTGGCTGAGGAGATTTGAGCAGGATCCACCACCAGCACCCGTCATGAGAAAGTAAGTGATAGACTTTTCATGCCGTATACGTCTACCTATTTTAATGAATGAATAGGACGCGATCTAAGGCACATGGGACTTATCAGCTTTGGGCAGTGCCCCTCAGTACTTTGCGTTTCAAGTTCTGAGTGGGACTGCAAATGATATGGGGAAGCGTGTTGCCATCTATTAGTTCCGCGGTTTGTTTGTCCTGTCACTTTAATCATTGAAGAAACAGCTTACGCAACAAATATATTTCAGTTAATTATAAATAGATGGGTAATTTTCAGGTCAGTCTTCTCTACCTAATTCCGGTGACATTTTGTATTATTTAAGTATTCGAGTATATTATCGTGGAATATTAAATAATACTTCATGATAATATTCTAGAATAATTAAATTTAAACAAACATTGTCACTGAAATTAGGTAGAGAATACTACTTGAAAATTACCGTAAAATACAATAGGCGTAATTTAAAATAATCCGAAATTGTGTTTTTTCCGCATTCAGTACAGCACTTAAAAGATTGTGTTGAATTTTTAAATGTCTTTTTGGCTGCTTTTTCTTACATTTATATATATATCAAAAACCGTTTTTGTAAAAACACTACTAGTTTGCCAGGAAATAAGGACTCTACTATTCGTATATAAGGTTTGTTTTTCGTAAGTTGCGGCACGTGCCCTGTTAAATGAATAAATAATAATATTAGCTTAATATTTATAATTATAAATGTTGCCACCGAAATTAGATGGAAAAAACTAACCTGAAAATGATATAGCCAGATGAAATAATACTATATAGAAAAGCTGTTTTAAAAACCCAATACAAATATTTGTACACATAAAGACATTCGTGAGGTCTGAGGACTCGGCCTCGTTGACACGGCATGGCAACATACGCTGGTTCGAGTCCAAGCGAAGGATTCTTGTTCGTGTTTGATCTTTGTATCAATTATACAAAAAAACTAGCAGAGTAATTTGACAAGAAATATATCACACTGCTATTACAATAGTGTTGTAACTCAAAATACGTGAAATTCAAAATTATACCATATCTGAATGTAAAATTTGATTCTCTACACGTCTATAAAACCGTCGTTAGAATATTGTAAGAAACAAAATATATCTACTCAACTGAAAATGAGACAAACCTTATGTGACGAAACAGTCATTTACTAAAAAAATATGAAATTATTTTTTCCCTTTTATTTCTAAATATATTTGGCAAGTAGGAAATTGTTTAGATTTCTGTAACTAACTACAATGGATTGACAATGAGAAATTTCTTCAAGATAATTGTGACAGGAAATTAAGAGATGCAAAGCGAGACCAACAATGTTAAAGTATCCGGTTATCGCAAAATATTGCGCCAGTCGATGTGGCAATTTTAAGGCCTATTTCCAGCAGTAAACGTCTTTCAGCTGAAATGGTGGTGATGGCTAACACAATTGTCTTTGGCAGGTTCCAACTACAGTTCGAGCGTCTCGTGGTACTGGACTACATTATTCGGAACACCGACCGCGGCAACGACAACTGGCTTATCAAGTATGATGTGCCGCAGCACGGCGACCACTTGGACGCGAGAGAGCCATCTGTAAGTATACTGTAGCGGAGTTCCAACATTGGTTAATTTAGTTTCTCCATAGGTTAAAACTATAAAAAGAAATGTAGAAATGAAACAGTGTCTTCAGCTAACTCTTCGATAGATAAAAAACAACACACAGTTGGACAATTCGTCATAAATTTGAAACAAATCTCAGTCATTAAACAAAAAAAGGACTGTTTTGTTTTAAAACGTTATATTGTATAATAATATGGTAATTTTAAAAATAATATTTTCGCGCGCGTTTGAAGAATACGCGTGAAAGATTTAAGTTAAAATTGTGGTATCGTATTAATAATGCCAAACTAGACACAATTCAAAGTTAATAAACTGTTAGTAATAATAATAATAAAGCAAAATGAAATAATTTTTTGTTTAATTTTTGCTTTTTATTATTATTAACAGGATCTCATTCAGCAAACAGAAGCACACTCACAAACACACACACACACACACACACACACACACACACACACACACACACA